TTTTTTTTTTTTTTTGTTGTTGAGTGAATTTTTTTAAAAAATTGTTTTAAAGATTTAATTTTTTTAGAGCACTTTCAGGTTTACAAAAAAATTGAGAGTAAGGTACAGAGATTTCCCCATTTACCCTGCCCCCACACACGCATACGTGCATAGCATAGCTTCTCCCCTTGTCAATATCACTCACCAGAATGGTACATTTTTTACTAAGGATGAACCTACACTGACATGTCATAATCAACCAAAGTCTGTAGTTTACTCTAGGGTTCATTCTTGGTGTTGTACATTCTATGGGTTTTGACCAGTGGATAATGACTTTTATCCATCATTATAATATCATAGAGTATTTTCACTATCCTAAAAATCCTCCCTGTTCTACCTATTCTTCTCCTAGCCCCACTTCCCACCTTTGGCAGCCACTATTCTTTTTATTGTCTTCCATAGTTTTGTCTTTTCCAGAATGTCATAGAGTAAGAGTCATATAGTATGGAGTCTTTTCAGATTGGCTTATTTCACTTAGCAATATGCATTTAGGATTCTTCTGTATCTTTTCATGGCTTAGCAGCTCATTTCTTTTTAGTGCTGAATAACATTCCATTGTCTAGAAGTACCACAGTTTATTTTATCCATTCATTTACTAAAGGACATTTTGGTTGCTTCCAAGTTTTAGCAATTGTAAATAAAGCTGTTATAAACATCTGTGTGCAGGTTTTATGTGGACCTAAGTTTTCAACTCCTTTGGGTAAATACCAAAGAGTGCAATTGCTGTATCATATGATAAGAGTATATTTAGTTTTTTTTTAAAAAAAAGCCAAGCTGTCTTCCAAAGGGATGTACCATTTTGCATTCCCACCAGCAATGTATGAGAGTTCCTTTTGCTCCACATCCTCACCAGCATTTGGTGTTGTCAGTATTCCAGATTTTGGCAATTTTAATTGGTGCGTAATGGCATCTTATAATTGTTTTAATTTCCATGTCTCTGCTGACATATGATGAGGAGCATCTTCTCATGTGTTTATTTGCCATCTGTGTATCTTTGGTGAAGTATCTGTTAAGGTCTTTGGCCCATTTTTTAATTGGGCTCTTTTTTTACTGTTGAGTTTTATGAGTTCTTTGTATATTTTGAATAAAAATCCTGTATCAGATGGGTCTTTTGAAAATATTTTCTTCCAGTTTATGGCTTGTCCTTTCATACTCTTGACATTGTCTTTCACAGAGCAGAAGTTTTTAATTTTAATGAAGTCCAGCTTATCAGTGATTTCTTTCATGGATCATGTCTTTTGTGTTTCTATCTAAAGAGGCATCACCATTCCCAAGGTCATCTAAGTTTTCTCCTCTGTTGTCTTATAGGAGTTTTATAGTTTTGCATTTTACATGTAGGTCCATGATCCATTTTGAGTTAATTGTTGTGAAGGGTATAAGAGGTTCCCTTTTTTTAAGGAGAAAAAAAATTTGGAAACTGGTAAGAAGCCATCTCCTTTAGCTGAGTTTTGTAAGAGAAAATTTTAAATTGGGCACATAATGAACTAAGGTGGCAACAAGCCTGAGCCCTGACATTAACCCATAGAATGAGGGAGAACAGCTCATTCGGTTAATCAGCTAAGACGAGAAGGAAAGCTGATATTCCTGACCTGCCTGCTTCAAAATAAGCCCAGATGCTCTGCAGAGCCATCCTGAGCAAGGAAAATACACGAGGCAAATGGTGCTCGCAGGAGGTCTCTGACCCAAAGAGGCCATCTGACTGTTTCTCAGAGAAATCAGAAACGTTGCTTAAAGGGGCAGCTAGACATGTAATTGCTAACATTTTGATTTTAAGTTCTTATATTTGCTTACAAAACTCTGCACCCCACTGATACATTTTCTAGTTATAAAATATGTACCAGAAAATAGCTTTCTTCCATTTACTCCCAGAGGGATAGATACACCTTGGTCTCCCCAACAGCTGTGTGATATTTACTGAAGCTCTTAAGTTTCGGGGCCTTTCCCTCCCTCTTCTGCAAAAGTGAGGATGTTGACTGCTCCCTGAGGCTCTCCCCGAACTTAAAAGTGAAATCAATGTAAAACGTTTAAAAAAGTAAAATTATATCTCACAATTGTAATTTTTATTTAAGGTAGGTGTTCTTAACTTAGATTCCAGAGGCCTCAGAGAATTGGAATCCGCTGAAATTTATGGAAAAGTTCATATGTTTGTCCCCCAAGCCCCCAAAAGTTAGGAATTGTCTGTCCCTATCTTTGATGATCCAGAGAGGAGATTGGGCATAAACAAAGGAGCAGGGGCAATAATTGTGATATTTGGCCGAATGACCAGAGCCTTAAAACCTTCATTCGCAGGGGTAATGTCTCCTCTCCTTCGGGAGGGCTATTTCTGGACTGCTCTAGGACATGGAGTGTACCTGATAAAATCTAGGCATATCTTTCAGATCTGTTCTCAAGGAAAAAACAAATCTAAAACCCAAATGGTATCATTACCAGCAGTCACTGAGCAGTGCTTTACTTTGCGTAAGAAGATGTCAGCTTCCTATGGACTTGCTACTAAGTCCAGAAGAAAATGTCGAAGGAAACCAGTCCATATGCAAGCATATTACACATTTAAAATAACCAACAGGAGAGTTTTCTCAGTAGCCACTACAAATAAACACATTGGTGAATTGGGGGTACAGATGTTCTTCTAAACCTGGCTTTTAGAGAAGGGAACGTGTTTTAAGGTATGGGAAGGTGGAAATCAGAGTTAAGCACCAGACAGTTCTGCTTTCATTTCCCTCAGGTGATCAGTGTTCACTTGGATGTCAGATAAAATCCAGGGAAATAAAATCTTAAAGTCATTGTTCTATTCACAAAGGTATCTTCCATTTATTGCAATGTGTATAATGATCAGGTAAAAAACAAATGAGTCTGCTTCTTCCCAACAAATGCCATCCGAGATACTTGTGTGGGTATTTTCTGTCCTTTTTAAAAAGTTATTTCCTCATAAGACATAGATGTGTCATTTCTAAACGAGATCTCTTGAAAGAAAATATTTTTCCAAAACATGAGAATAAATCAAAAAATAATTCCATAAATAAAAGTCTTTTAATTTTATTTTTAGATTTATTTATTTATTTATTTATTTGAGAGAAAGCGAGCACAAGCAGGGAGAGTGGCAGAGGGAGAGGGAAAAGCAGACTCTCCGCTGAGCAGGGAGTCCGATGCGGGGCTCGATCCCAGGATCCTGAGATGATGGCCTGAGCTGAAGGCAGACGCTTAATTGATTCAGCCACCCAGGCACTCCCCACAAATAAAAGTCTTTATCAGCATCATCTAAGAGTATAGATTTTATATTACTATCCTTTCCACTAACATTTACCAGTATCACCTTGTTGTGAAACTTGCTTCTTAGAATGACTTAGTTATTATGGTCCTTTAGCCTTTTCATTATCCAGTAGAAAAAGCTTTATGAGAATAGCTCACAGTATCTTCCTTGCTTGCTTACATTTTCCATTTGTAAGCATCTCTTCAAAGTGTTAAGGTAATCTAAAAAAGCTTCTGGCTACATATTTATGGAAGCAGCCTGATGGTGACCAGACTACACATTGATGTGCATGTGTGTGTTTGTCCTTTCTAGTTTCAGATGGAGCTCACACAAGTCCGGAGATGGTCCTCACCATTCATTTGCTTCCCACTGATCAGCACCTGCCGGCGTTCCGGGTCACAGCTCCCCTGCTTGAGGTCAGCCCAGGAGGCAGCACTGCTATAGGTAGGAACTGAGCCTAAAAGAAACGTGCCTTTGGAAATGGAACCGTATTTCAGCAGCAGTCCCTGTTTAAACCTCTTGATGGTTGCCCAGAAAGAGTGACCTCTTCTTCCAAAAGGTATATGTGTTCTCACCTATACCCTTCCCTCTGCCCATTTCCATGCAAATAGAAGCAGCACAGAGAGAAGGAAATAGAGCTTTCCGAGGCCAGTGTTCAGTGATGGAATACAACACAGAATGTATTTTCCAGCCTTCAGGAGTTTGATTTGTTGCCGTCGCTAAAATATAAAATTAACAAAGGAGAGCAGAGACGAGAAGGGAGGGGAGCAGTTTCAGCGACTGCCCTTGTTTTCTGTTTAGAAGGTAAAGAGTAACCGGAGAAATGACAGATCACAGTAACCTTCAGAAGTTGTGATGCATTGGCCCGGTTATTCTGTACGTAATTTTATTTACCTCTTAGTGTACTTACTCTTTAGGAGTTTCTTTATTCTTTCACCAAATACATTTTAAAAGCAAACAGTGGATGTTGTGATTTTTGTTAGTTGTGCTCTACAGATCCTTATCCAGTTTCTACCCTTAAGTATTGGCCTGAAATTAATTGTCATCCAATTTCTAAACAAGCCACATATACAAAGACGACTGTCGCTCCACCCTATTCTTTCTCACTTCTGTGATGGCCCTAGCAGCCATTGTTAAAACAACTTGGCTCTTCTGTAGATTCAGAAAAAGAAGGGAATAAATAATGAAAAGCAAAAACAGTTTCTGGGAGGATTTTCTGGAAAACTGGACTGACCTATATGTCGGCTTCCGTGCCCTCATTTGTATGGAAAGGTGTTCTTAATTCAGAACTACCTACTTATAAGTTAACTTTTGGAAGTAAGTTAACTACTTGTAATTTGGGAATTGACTGTATCATCCGTTTTCACTCTTCTGTGGTTGACTGGAATTCAACAGTGCCTTCTTATAACCATCAGATTGCCCACAGCGTGGCTTCCAGCCTGCTCTGAAGCTTTAATGTAGGCAGGGCATACAGTTTTTAATGTACACATCCTCTCACCATGATTTGTTCCTGACTACAGGACTTCAGCTGGCAGCAAGAGATACCGAGATAGCACCTGAAGAACTCTTCTTTGAGCTCCGGAAACCTCCAGAGCATGGTGTGCTCCTTAAGTACACAGCTGAGTTCCAAGGGCCCATGGCCACAGGTAGCTGCTTCCTCTGTTATTGGCCTGCTCGGAGGGTTTCTTGCTCTACAGTTTTATGTCTCAGACAAGAAGTAAAGCAACTCTGTGGGACAAACTATGAGGAGATACTTAGAAAGGAAAAACCTTTAGCTCTTAGTCCATTGGCTGAAATAGTTGGGACTTCTTTCTCTGCGCCACCACCCACAACCCAAAACAATGAGGCTGTTTCCTCAAGTTGTAGGTGAAATTAGTCGAAATCGGTTGATTTATCTGGAGTAAATGCATTTAGAACAACCTCATACGAAGTGTCAGGTGCCGCTTTCTTGTGGTTATGGAGATGAATTTGTCTTCCTTAGTTTGCTATGTTAATCTTCACAGTATTTTTAGCACTGAAAATCTGATAGCATAAACTGCATGTATCTTCATCCATAAAAAATGAAACACATTTTTTTAAGTAGTCTCTTTGTGATGTAACACTGTGGTAGGTCATGTGACCAGCTTTCCAAAATAATATTTCTTGTACTTTCTCCAATTATAAAAAAATAATACATGTTGATTGTTTAGAAAGTATAGAAAAGCACAAGGAATACAGCTAAATCTAATTGTTTAATAGTTAGCCCGTATATATCAAAGTGAATATTATCTCTTTCAAAGTAGTCACTTTGGGATGCTATATGCTTATTTCAACAATGTGTACTTTCTCAAAACCTTTATATAATTCCTAATAGGCATGTAATAGTGCATTCTTTTGAATATCCCTGCAGAGAGAGGGGGGGCAAGTCTTTGACCTTGAAGTTAGATAGAATTTGAATAACAACCAATAGGCATTTGGGAGTCACAAAGGCAGATTTTTAAAAATTTACCAAACACAAGAAATATCATCAGAATAAATTTCTAGCATCCTAAGGGAACTATTTAAGGAGCATTACCAGTCAGAACCCAGTTTCCTTACCTATATTTGTGTAACTAATATATACTATCTAAAGATGTTTATAAAACATTAGTTTTATGACTTTTTTTGAAGCACAATACCACTAGCACCAGTAAATCACAATAACACAGTGTCAAAAGAGAAGGCTTAGAAGACAAAGACAGAAAATGAATAAATTCTTTAGTCTCATTCATAACACCAATTATTAGAGCCAATAATCTGTCAGGAAATAGAGTTGAGTAGAACATCCAAGAAGACCAATTCTTCAATTGTACTCTCTGGAATCCTTGGGGCCCATGACACTAAGAGGCATTTCTTATAAAAAGGGTTCCATGACCATGGAACACTACATCAAAAACTAATGATGTAATGTATGGTGATTAACATAACATAATAAAAATAAAATTTTAAAAAAAAGGGGGGGTTCCATGACCAAACAATTTTGGAATGCTTTAATATTTCTACATTGAAGATTCTAAAATTAATAAATCCTGCAGTTCAAGAAAGTTTTAGTTTTAAATTTTGTTTAAACCTATTTTTCCCAAAGTTATATGACCTTGAGACTTCTTTCACACACCTATGAAATCTATCACAAATTAGTACTCTAGACCTGCAAAGTTTGGATTTCTAACTTCAAGTATGTTTTTAAATTTTTAGATATTTTTTAATTTAGAAAAGCCTTATATTTTCACCTAAAACAAAGGTCTCTACAGATTCATCAAGCATGATTTATTTTCTTAACTTTTTCCTAAAAATTTCAGTGTCAAGATTAGATCCAAGACTAGGTTATCCTAAAGAATAGAGGCTTGGCCTTTATTCTCTAGAACTAAGAATGATGACTGGACCTTACAGAAGCAGATTTGAGCTCACTATGATTAAGAACATAAACAAAATTAGAGCTATCTCCAGTGGAATTAGCTGCCTTGTAAAACAGGGAGCCTCCCACCTTGAGACGTGTTGAAGGACAGGCTATATAACCCCTTTTCAAGAATGGCGTAAAGGGAATCCTATGTTGGGTGGGTGGTTGGACTAATTAACTTACAACTCCCAGAGTTTATGATCCTATATGTACTTTGAAATCCTGAGTACAAAGGTGTTATATACATGAAAAGCGTTATTCCCAGAAGTGATTGGTTTTGCAATTTGTTTTATTCTCTAAAGGTGACACTTTCACATATGAAGATATTGAGAAAAATGTTCTGCAGTATCTACACGATGGCTCCCCTGCCCGGGAAGACAGCATGGAGATCTCAGTCACAGATGGCACGTCCACGACGACTGTGGAAGTGAAAGTGGCGGTGTCCCTGTCGGAGGCCCAGGGGCCTCAGCTGGCTGCTGGTGCCTCGCGGAGCATTACCGTTGCTAGGAAAAGCACAGCCGTGATCACCAGGTCACACCTTGCTTATGTTGTAAGTTCTTACCTGTGTCTTCTTGTTCACTGTGCCCTCTCCCTGGGCTTGACTAGAAAGCAATGCCATGGCTGAATATTCAGGGCAGCAGGTATGTGGCCATATAAGGAAGTTTCTTCTCAACTCCCCAATAGCTCTACTCCATTGTTTATTCTGGTGGCCCCTGGTGTCTCATGAGCAGACAAGTGAATCAACAGAACGTGAACGGAAACAAAATGAGACTGTGTAGCGATGGGTGATGGTCAACAGGGAACAGTGCCCATGCCGGAAAAGCCTGAGTCCCCATTTTTTAAGCTCCATCCATAATATTTCAAATGGAAATTTTCAGGAAAGAGCATTTTAGAAGAAGTACCTGATTCATGACTAATACGTAATTATATTTCATGGGCCGCTGAGAGGAAGCCCACTTTCACCAGCTTTGGTCTCAGGGCCAGCTCTAAACAGAATGCTGGCACATTCCTTTGGCAGTGCCTCTCTGCCAGGTTTCCTAGGCAAGATTACTGACTCACCCTCCATCCCGTGCCCCAACAGAAGCCGTGTATTTAGGACCCTAACTTGCGAAGTGACCCTGGTTAATTACACTCCTCTCCTTTCTTTGATTCTACCTCTGGAGCTGAGGATAATGAGGATAGTTAATTTTATTTTTCAGTTATGTGTGTTGTAAACATACACGAATTCTCTATGTAAACATAATAGTTTTGACAAATACCTTGAAAATATGGATGGTTCTCTGAATGGTAATCGTTCTTAGTATTGAATTTTTCCTTACCAATGTTAAAATTCCAACCAATGATCTGGCCTCTGTCTGTCTGTCTATCTATCTATCTATCTATCTATCTACCTTTTTCTTTTCTTTCAATACTATATAGTTTTAAGTAATCCTTTTCTGGACTAAAGAGTCTGGCTATAAAATCTAGTCCTGGATAGTAGCATGTAAGATAAAGCATTAGCCTGGGAACAATTGCTTCAATTGCTTTAGCACAGATTTTCCCCTCAAATTGTCTTTTCTTAAATTATGGGAAACTGCATTCCACCCTGATTCTTCTCATGGTTCTAGTATAGTTTCAGAACAGCTTCGATTTTGTTTTTTTTTTTCTAATTGACAGGTGATTTTTACCATAGGTTATGGTCTCTTGAATCTTATGAAACTCATGAATTCATAAAAATGTATGAATACAGATTTAATCAATAGATTACCAAGGCTTGAAAAATGTTTGACAGGCCAAAATAGCTCCCCATGAGCAGTTCCTGCCCATTAACTGCATATTATAAGCTGCATATCAAAACACGAGCCCATTGGCAACCGAACATGTATTTTCAGAAATTGATTGAATGTGAATTTACCCACTAGAGCAGAAAGGCTCCAAAAGGACTATTCTAGCCTGCTGAAGGCATAGCATATTTTAAAGCCTTAGCTAAGTTATATACTAACTTTCTCTGAGGGTTATAGAAGAATGTAGTGTCATGGGGAAAATCTTTCCAGATATGCATAGTTAATGAGTTTGCAGTGAACATCCAGACAGGTTCAAAAAGCCATCTGAAATGCTGGTCATAAATGGAACAGAATGTAAAAGGATAGGAGCAGGCGAGCCTGTTTTTAATTAGAGTGTCATTAACTGCAAGAGGGTGACATGGTGTCAAGAGAGACAAGAGGTTGGGACGCCTGGGTGGCTCAGTTGGTTAAGCGACTGCCTTTGGCTCAGGTCATGATCCTGGAGTTCCGGGATGGAGTCCCGCATCGGGCTCCCTGCTCGTCAGGGAGTCTGCTTCTCCCTCTGACCCTCCCCCCTCTCATGCTCTCTCTCTATCTCATTCTCTCTCAAATAAACAAATAAAATCTTTAAAAAAAAAAAAAGAGAGAGACAAGAGGCAAAAATGGGATCCTGTGTGATTTGTTTCTTTTTTTTTTTTTAAAGATTTTTTATTTATTTGAGAGAGAATGAGAGACAGAGAGCACGAGAGGGAAGAGGGTCAGAGGGAGAAGCAGAC